TGCAGTTTATTTAGATCCTCCTGTAATGCATTTGCATCCTGCCCTGAATTAATTTGCCGCCCTATTTTGGTGTCATCCGCAAACTTGCTTATGTCACTGCTGATCCCAGTATCTAAATCGTTTATGTAGATTATGAACAAGAGTGGGCCTAGTACTGACCCCTGGGGAACCCCACTGGTTACACGGCCCCACTCAGATTTAACACCATCTACGCTGACCCTCTGCGTTCTATCGGTGAGCCATGATTTTATCCAATTTAAAACTTTCCCCTTGATACCATGAGCCTTAATTTTTCTCAGAAGCCTCTGATGTGGTACTCTGTCAAATGCTTGAGGAAGAGTCACGAATGCGTGATTCTCCCTCGTGTAGAGGTATATACGTGCACCCGCGGGGCAGCTTGGGCCTCCGTATTCATACCAGAAGGGTCGATCTTACCAACAACATAACTTCTCTATCATTTTGGATCACTGTATACTTGGTTATGAACTCCGGTGTTCTTGATCAGGGTAATTTCCTATGTCTATTCATATAATCTAATCAGAGGTTGAGCTTGCCAGGAAAAGGTGGAATATACACGTCGATAACATTAATTCTGCAAGCTCAGGCCTGAGGCGAACAAGGAGCTATATTCACGGGGAGGCGCTAGATCTTGGAGATTATACCAGTTGACAGAATAGTTCAGGAGATTAATGACTTTCTTAAATAGACAACTGACACTAACTAAACTATAAACATCAGATTCTCTGATGTCGTGGCGACAAAATGATATAACTTCAGGCGCGATCAGAAACTCATGGATACCCCCACGGACGACATAAAAGACGCCACTCTAGCTGGCAAACTCGACACTCACTTACTTGACACGTTCTACTAACAATAAGGACAGTTGAAGCGTTCTACCCCACTCACAATGGATCTTGAATGTTCCAACTGTAAACAGACATATCGAAGTTGACTCAAAACAAGGGTGTACTCTCTCACACTCAAATTCATTTTATAGAGAGGTTGGTTTCAGTAAGTCAGAGAAAATGGGATAACGGAGGACTGAGGTGTCTTGAATTGATGAGAAAACGGACTCCTCAGATGGAGGACTCAAACGAAAGCCGAGTTACATGTTTTGTGGGCTATTGAGCGTAATATGAATCATTTGATTTTGGCGCTAACTGACGTGTAAGACCGTGGTCGTTACAACTGCAAGGAGAACATTTCCTGATTCTTTCTTTACCTCTCATGTCATCCGTTTTGCGCAGAAAAACTCGTACAATTGGATACATATAATTCAAATATAAATGGATCATGAGAAATTTACATGAATTTTGTCGATGCTAAATAAAGGAAAATTGTGAACAGTGTTTGTCTTTGATTTACTCATTTCATATCATTACACTTAGGTTTAATGGGTCGCAATTCAAATTGTTGTTCTGGCTGTGGGTCGCAGTAAAAAAGTTTGAAAAACACTGCTTTAGATGGTCTCGGATTATAACATATAACGAGACGGGCGTAGACGACATCAGGACGCGGTGTAAATTTTAGAATTCCTTTGCGAAACATTTATTCCAGGGAATTCTCATGAATTAGAGCACAGACTACTCTAATTATTTTATCTTAACAGCAATCATAATTAATTTCTTCTGGATGTTGATAGTATAGCCGTGGTATTTTATTAGCTACGATGGTGTATGGTCTCGTATTTTTACTATTACATATAGCCACGGGATCTGCAGCTCTACCACCAATGTGCATGCATAAATCGCTATTCCAAATTCCCGACAGGCAATGTGACAATGGGCACTATCAATTGCCAACGAAGTTATCCAACCTCCTTTTAGAGGTGTTTTGTAGGGTATGAAGAGGCAAAATGCACAATCCCAGTCGTGTAATAATGTTATATTTGTAAACTTAATACCAACGATTTTCATACCTACCCTCACTCGACACGACTATTCAGTGGTCTGGTAATATAGAATTAGGAACTCTTGAAACAATCTGCCACAGTGTTGTGACGGCACCCAGTTGAGCTCTTTCAAGGCCAGACTTGACGAGCACTGAAGCATGTCACATTGAGGAACCAGTACATGCCCAGTACTTGCCAACAGTGCATAATAGAGAAGTGGTCGACTGCCCGTACAGCTAACAGGGTGATCAGTAGCGGATAGGATAAAGTAACGTAAACTAAATTTTGTGGTGCAAATAAAGCGTTTGGGCCGACGAAGGACATAACAGGCGAATGTTGATGGAACAAAACCTTTCCCTCATTATAACGACTATCGATAGCGAGTTATAACGACTACCGATAATGAATTATAACGACTACCAATAGCGACTTATAACGTGCATAATTTTCAAATCAAAACAATGAATGTTTAAAAAATTCACATTCTTCACACTGACTATTACCATCAATTGTATATAGTTTCAAATTAATGGTACTGAGATGCTATCGAGGACATGGGTTATAAGACTTGATAAAATTTAAGTTTACTGTTTTCGCACATATAATTTCATTAGAGAGAGACTCAAATTTGACTCAAATTTGGACTCAAAATTTTAATATTCCCGTCAGCCAGGGGGAAGCCGAAGGAGAACAGGAACACTTAACGTCCAAACGGCGAGGGAACAGTGAGAGTGTGACAAGCAAAACGGCGTACAGTTGCAAGCAGTTATTATCTATTCGTATTATTACTATCATATTAAATATTTCTCGAGTGAATATGAATAACCGGCAGTCCTCTGATTTGCTCTGCCATCCCGTTAAAAACCGTTATATAAATATATAATCCTGCTAAAGATTCCCACTAGCCGGTAGATCCAAATTCTTAACGCGAGATTGAAAGCAAAACCTCCAGATTTAGCGGAAAACACGCTGAATTGGCAACACTGCCGGCTTCAGGTGTTTACGTGGAGACAGGCCATACCAACCAGCCTTGTGTGTGTTGCACCACTTCCTGATACTGACAGTGAGGTAACGGTATTAGTTTTTATCCACACACCCTCCACGGAGAAATGAAATCACGTACTTATTCACCTTGTATAATGCGAGCCATATTGTTTTGAAAAAATGCCAACTTATACTCTGTCAGTTTACTTACATACTGTTCCTCGTGATTAATATAGTTTCAAGTCTTAAGAATATTTTAATTAAAGAGATATATCTCATAAACAAAAATATAATCATAATGAGTGTTAGTGGTTGGTTGAGCTGGACATAATAAAGCACAAGTCTAGATGACATTTGCCTATTAGGACAAACTGAAAGATCTTAAACAGATTTATATAAATTTGTTGCTAGTTCATTTTCTCTGATTTACTGACTAAAACATAATTATGTGTACTGTACGTACTGTATGTGATCCAAGACAATAAAATTTGCAATATTTTCAGATGTCATAGATCACATACAGTTCTAGTGGATCCTCTCCCCTACAACTACAACTGCCGTTTGTCGCTGACTAGCCGACCCCTTTTCGAATTCCCCAGCCAACGCCTCGTGGTCTAAGGTCGGCAACCAGCGCCGCCTAACATAGCTGAGGTCAACTATAAAGCCACGCCTACCTCCGCTATATAAGACCTGACCCCGCCGTGATTACCCTCCCAGCTATATCAGCCAGGAAGAAGTAATTGAACCACCTCCTGCCTCAATATACACATTTCTACATATAACATTACTAGAGGAATAAAGATGAGAGTGACCAACCAGCTCCACTAAGAACCTGGCAGGCCTCTCCATACAGTGTACCTTTAGACTAACACAACTAACACTTAACTAACACCTCAAAAAAAAAAAATGTGACTACCCTCCCAGTTACACAAGGACCTGGGCGGGCTCACTAACTCCAACAATAACAAATAATAATAATAAGCAGCATTATATAAATAAACCAATATTAATACAAAGGTCTGACGACCCAAGGGAGCAGAACAAAGACAAAACACCAATAAGAAAGATGAAGCGATCTGGTTGAGCCCAGATTCTTTCTACTCCTACTGTATTTCAGTTTCACCACTTTTCCTTCAACTCCTAATAATCTTCTTTCACCTCTTAACTAAAGACTTCGTATCGTATCGACCTGCCCCTTCTTCTACCTACAGCCACCAGCAAGCAACACCTCCTCTGAGCACGCTCCCCAACCAGCTCTCTCTACTCACGCTTGTAACCACGCTGCCACTTCCCAGCACCAAACTGCATTGTACATCCAATACAACATGTATACAGAGAGCGCATTGTGAGTTTCCATTCTCCAACCCATCCTGAGTGTGAACCAACATCTCGAAACCCCACACTATAGTGGTGTTAAGTTGTTTTAATTTACAAAACATCATTTTCTAACAAGCTGCTAGCCAACGCATATAAAATGGTTTTCCTTTTCGACAGTTAAATATCTGACACCAATTAAAGGACTTGTATATCCGACACTCACTATTTAAAGGACTTATATATCTGACTCACCACTTAAGGGCTTATATATCTGACTCACACTGCTTAAAGGATTTGTCGAATCATAGCATTATCTGCCTTCATGTATTGCTATACTGTACACTGCATTCGTGCTTGACTGCACCTCCACCAAACACACTTGGTTACTATATAAATCACAAAGGCCTCATACTGTGACAAAACGTCATCTACCAAACAACGTATGACGCACACCTCCACTCTGGAGGGCGACGAAAACAAAATTTTAAGTCAGAAATGTATCACAAAGAGCAAAGCACAACTTACTGTACGTGGGACGAAGCAGTTGCTTCCTGCCTCCTATTCCGGCATATACAGTATATATATATATATATATATATATATATATATATATATATATATATATATATATATATATATATATATATATATATATATAATCTTGTTTTGTTAGCAATGTCAGCACAAGGAGCGGGAGGTTAAGGTGAACTAATATATGTGCAGGTTATTACATTCTAAGGACATTATTCCTCTATAGTCCTAATTATATATAATACAAAGTGGCAAACATGAGGAAATAACTTACCATGTTACATGTTGAGAGGCGGAAAACTTTAAAATGTTAATTTCCTGGGTTATTTTTCCATTATTTTCAGTCAAAATGGTGAACCGTAGGCAGAATGTAACAAGAAATGTAATAATTCCCAACAGAAACGAGAACTACGGTAGATATCCCGTACAGAATGGTCACCCGATAAAGTATATCCTCGTCTCCATCATCTTGCACCTTACTGAGAGTGCAAGTGGGTGTTGTGGAGCACCTGCTGGCTGAGGAAGGAGTCGCGAGTCCCATGACCTTGATCAAAGTTGCCAGATAGATCCTCCTGTGATGTCCCTCCTTGCTCCCCACAACACTGAGGAAAAGGAAAGTTGACAAGTTAAAATATGGAGTTGAAATACGTGGATGCAGCAAGCAACGCGCACACTCACCCTTTCGTTGCAATTCACGCACTTCCCATTTTATTCTGGCTACCGCCAAACAATTTTATTCAGCTGAGGGTAACCTCCCACAGCCAAAGGGATAATAACATTTATATTAAGTACTGATTAATATAGTAAATTAGGTACATTACATAACACAAGTAAAACACAAAATATACAATTATCCAAACACAAGTAAAACAACTATGCAGTTATCAAAACATCAGAATATTACTCAATTATTTCTACTTTAAAACTGTGCCGACACAGGGTCAGGGGGTAGCAGTGCACCCACTACCCGCTCCCGCTCTAACCCCCACCCGGGAGGTGGCTCAGCCTACCAGACAGGAGGAGGCGAGCGCCGTGTAAGCAATGACATTTCTAACCAAACCCTGCAAAATACAGTGTACTTAGCAAATGCTGCAGCTTCTGAGAATGGGGGGGGGGGTTACTACGAAGAGCAGAGACGTTACCGAGAACAAATTCTGGCTTGAATGTCATGTACACTAATACTGACACGTTTCTTGATAAGAGAGAGGAGTTTGAAACACTACTGAAAGTACTACTGTTGCAAGAACAGGAGAATCGACCCAGGAAATGTGAGTTCAGTACTGCTGGATATGACTGATTACGAACCTTTCTCAGAAACTTGCAGGGGTGTGGTTATCTCTATGGGCAAGCCGAGCCGAGCCGGCGCGGGGTATAGGGTGAGGATGTTTTGAAGGTCCAAGTGGTGTAAGAATTAAATTAAAGGGACTTGTATATTCGTCGGGTGTACTGATCCAAACTTCAGCGGCCCACTAAATCAAAGGAACTTAAAGGCACTTGTAAACAACGCATGCCCAACCCTAGCCACCTCCTTATCATTGGGGACTTTAACTATGGCGACATCGACTGGAAACAGAGTCACCCCAAGGATTTGGAATAACCTGCTACTGTTTTTGTAGAAACTCTTGAGAATAATTTTCTATTCAACATGTTAAGATGACTTCGACATTAGGAGCAAACACCAAGCCATGACTCATCATAACAGAGGAGGTAGTTGGTGATAGCTGGGTACCCTTTAGGTTAGGCCTGATCGCCATATAGTGTTGTCATTCAGATTTAACTGTTACCTAGTTCAGGATAAGGCCAGGCCAAGGTGCAAATATTACAAGGGAAATTACAATGGGATGAGGGAAGAGATGAGTGGTATCAACTGGCCTGACTCATTAAGGTACAAGAACGCAGACACTACGCTGAATATCATAACTAGTAAAGTGATACGATACGAAGTCTTTAGTTAAGAGGTGAAAGAAGATTATTAGGAGTTGAAGGAAAAGTGGTGAAACTGAAATACAGTAGGAGTAGAAAGAATCTGGGCTCAACCAGATCGCTTCATCTTTCTTATTGGTGTTTTGTCTTTGTTCTGCTCCCTTGGGTCGTCAGACCTTTGTATTAATATTGGTTTATTTATATAATGCTGCTTATTATTATTATTTGTTATTGTTGGAGTTAGTGAGCCCGCCCAGGTCCTTGTGTAACTGGGAGGGTAGTCACATTTTTTTTTTTTTTGAGGTGTTAGTTAAGTGTTAGTTGTGTTAGTCTAAAGGTACACTGTATGGAGAGGCCTGCCAGGTTCTTAGTGGAGCTGGTTGGTCACTCTCATCTTTATTCCTCTAGTAATGTTTTATGTAGAAATGTGTATGTTGAGGCAGGAGGTGGTTCAATTACTTCTTCCTGGCTGATATAGCTGGGAGGGTAATCACATTATTATTATTAATATTATTAATATTTTTTTATTTTTTTATTTATTTTTTATTTAATTTTTTTTTGAGTTAGTGAGCCCGCCCAGGTCCTTGTGTAGCTGGGAGGGTAGTCACATTTTTATTTATTTATTTTTTTTTTTTTACTAAGATGTTAGTTCAATGTTAAATGTTAAATGTTAAATGTTAAATATTAGTTATGTTAGTCTAAAGGTACGCTGTATGGAGAGGCCTGCCAGGTTCTTGTGGAGCTGGTAGGTCACTCTCATCTTTTATTCTCTCTATTAATGTTTTATATGTATATTGGGGCAGGAGATGGTTCAATTACTTTCTTCCTGGCTGATTTAAACCAACTGTGTTCTTGGAATTCTTCGTTGTCTATATTATTTATCCAGTTTTGATATGTTTCTGTGTTAAGTTCAGTCACTTTTTTCCAAATATTTACAGCTTTGTTGTGTATATCTACATTGATTGCTAAGAGGTTTGCTCTCTTGTGTAGCTGTTCATTATTGATGTGGTCTGTATATTTTATGTTATATATAAATCTGAGGGCTATATTTTGTACTGTTTGTAACCTTTTAATGCACGTTTTACTAAGGGTGTTCAATGGGATGGGTGGGTAGTCCATAATTGATTTAACAAGGGCAATATAAATCTTTCTTTTGTTATTAATGCTAAGGTTCTTAAAGCGTTTTATTTTTGATAATCTTATTCTTGCCTGTCGTTCTTTATCTTTTAAGTATGTTATATATCCTCTTTTTGTTAGTTTTAATCCAAGCATCCTGCCTTCAGTGTCGTATGGGTATAGTTCCTGGTCGACTATTACTGGACTTGTTTTAATCTTGGCTATTGGTATTATCTTGAATTTGTTCTTATTTGTCCTGATTTTCCATTTTTTCTCAAAATCATTTATGTTTTTATCGCTCTTACCGTGTAGAGTGCCATAAATTGAGTTGATTTTCCTGGGTATGATACTATTTGAGTAATATCATCAGCAAACATTACATATTCGCTAAAGGGGGTAGGTTGAGGTGTGTCTGAAGTATAAATTGTATATAGTGTTGGAGAAAGGCATCCTCCTTGAGGTACTCCACTCTCAAGATTAAACATAGTTCCCAAAAGTTTCCAATTTGAATTTGTGCTCTCCTATCATCTAAATAGTTACACAATATTCTTAGCAAGTATTCGTTAAGTCCCAGTTTTAATATTTTATATTTCAAGCCTAAATGCCAAACTTTATCAAAAGCCTTAGAAACATCCCTTAAAATTATATTGATCTGGTTACCCTTGCTTTTTTCTATTGCAATTATTTCCGTTATTATAGCTATTGCAGTTAGGGTATTTCTATTGGGCATAAATCCATGTTGTCTGTTGTTAGTTTTCCCATGTTGTGTTAAAAAGGCTATAATTCTTGAATTTAATATTTTTTCCAAGACCAAACCCAGTGCTTCTAGGAATATGAGGGGATCCCTACACATGAACCATGCGGCGGTCGACAAAATTAAGAAGAAAACCCAGAAATTCAAAACTTGGGTTGGGTCAAACGATGAGCAAGATAGAAGGATATATGCAAGAGCCAGAAACCAAGCAAAGATAGAGTGTAGAAGGGCTGAAAAGGAGTTCCAGGGGCTGGTTGCAAGCGAGATCAAGTCAAACCCAAAGGCGTTTTACCGCTATGCAAAGTTGAAATTAAAAACGCGAGTAGGAGTATCAGACCTGAGGCTTGTGGATGGTAGTTACGCAGATTCTGACCAGGATAAAGCTGAGGCATTGAACAGCTTCTTTTCCTCGGTGTTCACAAGAGAGGATGCAACTAACCCTCCTGCGTTTGAGGACAGACGGTTCGACACAGCACTGACCCATATTGAGTTCACAGAAGAGGGTATCAGAAATAAACTGTCCAGGCTAAAGGTCCATAAGAGTCCCGAATCTGACATGGTGCATCCTAGAGTGCTAAGAGAGTTGTGCAACGAGCTTGCAGAGCCCCCTGAAGATCCTGTTTTGTAAATGCCTGGATGAACAAATGGTCTTATGTGGCTTATGTGAGTCCTATTTTCAAGAAGGGCGATCGGCACTCCACGAACAACTACTGTATAGACCGGTGAGTCTGACCAGCATAATATGTAAAGTACTTGAGAGTATTATCAGAGATGCCGCAATGGAACATCTAATACGAAACAATCTTGTAAAGGATTGCCAACACGGTTTTATGACGGGGCGCTCCTGCATAAAACAAATGTTCAAGGTATTGGATATTTGGACACATATTCTGGAACGGGGTGGTAATATCGACAATATTTACATAAATTTTGCCAAGGCTTTCGACAGTGTACCCCATGAAAGGCTGAAAATCAAACTGGAAGGGTACGGAATTCGGGGAAATGTCCTAGCATGGATAGAAGACTTTCTACATAACCGCAAGCAGTGTGTGGTGATTAATGGCACCAAATCGTCATCCGTACCTGTCACAAGTGGGGTACCATAGGGCAGTGTATTGGGCCCGCTGTTGTTTGTTTTTTTCATAAATGACATGCCTGACGTTCTACACTCCTCCATACAAATGTTTGCCGATGACGCTAAGTTATTTCGGGAAATTAAGAACCAAGCGGACTGTGAATAGCTGCAGAAGGACCTGTGTGGGCTCCAGGAATGGTCGAATGAATGGCTGCTGAGATTCAATGTCACGAAGTGTAAGAGGATGCACCTGGGGCGTACCAACGGGAAGGAGGCGTATCATATGTCCCAACTGGATGAAGAAACTGCACTAGTTGAGACTGAATGTGAGAAGGACCTAGGTGTGTATGTTGACATTGAGCTGAAGTTCTCGGGCCATTGCGAGAAGAAGGTAAACTAGGCAAATAAATTATTGGGTCTCATAAGAACGTCGTTCAGATATCTAGACTGTCCGTCCCTCGTAACGATCTTCAAGAGTGAAGTGCTTCCCCATCTGGAGTACTGGTCTGGTCCCCGAGATATGCTAGGGAGTGTCAGTTGGTTGAAAATGTTCAAAGGAGAATCACCAGACTGGTGCCTGGGTTGATGTAATACTAATAATAATTCATAGTAAATAAAATTTATAATAAAAAGTAAAATTAAATAA